TGAATATGAAGACAGTTTATTGTAAGTAATAGAAGTATAGGTTGCTGCCAATTATCATTTACATTATGTGCGACTGGAACATTTGGTGTTGGTTGACCTCTAAAAATAGAAAACCTATAAGATACGTTGTGGCAATTTAATTGTCGCCATTTGACGCTGACGGTAATGACAGTAGTGGTAGGGAACTAATAACAGAGATGGAATTAACTATCTGAACTATAAACATGCATTCAAACAGAAAGGTGTCTCTTAATGATCAGTGATTGAAACATATGTGTATAGTAACTTCAATAGTGGAATAGCCAGGTTTAACATTTGAGCCACACTATCACATAAAAGCCGGCGTGAAGTGGAAGCAATTCCGCGTTTCGTCTGATGAGTGTGTGGTGACAGAGGCCTTATTTTAGTCCATTTCCTTTTCCTCCAAATTCTTTTACGAAAAGAATAGGAAGGGAAAGTGGATTGGACGGTGGCTGAAACGCACAGGAAAGGGAAATATCCTCTTTATGTACGTCTCCTTCCTTGATAAAGGGTAGGAAACGCATCTTTCTCGGCGAATTCAGGTGGTCGCACGCTCGTTTGCCATCTTATAACATAAAAAAGAGTAAGTAAAGTTAGACGAAGTAACATTACTTGGATTGCGTTTTATTCGCTAGAGCTCTTTAATGAAGGACTCCCGTTGTATGAGGTCGGAGAATGTCAACTTACAAACATCCGAGTGACGCGACCTCAATGACAAGGCTGTATGTAGCGCACACAGATGGCGCGCCGGTGAGCTCTCCCGTACGAATGTCTATTACAGCAATTAAAGTCAGACTTGAGGAAATGTTTTCTTTCTTTAAGAAGTAACTGAGCAAATTAGGGTAGTATTACATAAGAATTAATTTACAGTTTGTTGAAATTCCTTATTTATATGGAAGAGTATATTATGCCGACGCTTATTTTTGAAATAATAGGGACAAGGTTTTTAAAATTTCATTTTCATAGTTAAGCGAAAATATTTACTTGTTACAATCTAATCAAAATGGTTTAAAAAGTACCGGAATATTTTGTGTGTCTCTATATATGTAATGGTCTGTTAACTTAAATATATACATTGAACAAAAGGCACCTTTTACATACAAGTCGAGCATACACTAGGTAATAAATCCAACAGTTACAATGCAGCTAACAATATATCATATTCCGGCAATTAGTGAGTTTCAAACTACTAGCGGGGACCATAGAGCATTATAAATCAGAGAGTTTAATAAACAGATAGCGACGTTTAATGTACAAATGCTTCTTGTTTTATTGTTGCATGCAGTACCCACTTCTGTGTTCCGATTCTGGAGTTAATATGCGATACATTAATTACATAACTTACACCCGTAACCCAGAGGGGTAGGCAGAGACTACGGACATTATTCTGATACACTCACTTCTACGCATAAATGCACGCCTGTCTGTGGCCTCTTGATGCCGCCCTTTTTAAGTATTTCATCTATACGAGTACTAATATTATTAAGAGGAAAGATTTGTATTTTTGTATGTATTGAAATAACTCAAAAACTACTAGGCTGTTAAATATTCTTTTACCATTAGAAAGGTAATTTATCTGTGAGTAACATAAGCTATATCTTTTGTTATTTTTAAATTACACGCGAGCGAAGTCGCGAGCAACAGCTAGTCAACAATAAATTAATAAATACAATGCGATTTAATAAAAAGTGTGTCTTTTAAATGCTTTATAATTTTACCAATATAAAAAATAACAGAATTCTTAACATTTTTACAGCTTAACAATCTTGCATGTCGTGAAAATATTAAGATTTTATGAAACAAAAAGCTTGATTTTCCGTGTCATAAAGTTTGCGATTAATTTCGCGTTAATACTCTAAATATCCTAAATTACTAAGCGCACGCAACCTTAAGTTCAAGGCAGAAAGTAAATTATGTTTCACCGAACATTAAAAATATTAATCGATGAATTTTTTATTTCCTTTTTTTCTATAATATAAGTGGCAAACGAGCAAGCGGCCACCTGAATCCACCGAAATGAAAAGCGACCGCTGCACATAAACATCCGCAATTGCAGATGCCTTGCCTACCCTTCGTTGACGGAGGAGGAGATGCACATAAAGCGGACATTTCCCTTCCTATGAATCTGCTCCACTGTCAAATCCACTTTTCCTTCCCTTTCTTTCCTTTTAAGAAAAGGGTGAAAAGAGAAAGGGACTAAAATTAGGCCTCCGGCACTACACTCATCTGACGAAACGAGGAATTGCTTCCACTTCACGCCTGTCTACTGTGTGGTCGTGGTATTACACCGGGCGAGCCGACCCATTCGTGCGAAGATGTTAAAGCGGGCTCTACCACTGTTAAAGTTAACTTACTAATATTATAAATGTGAAAGTTAAGATGGACGGATGGATGTTTGTTAGAGTTTGTAGCTTAAACGGCTGAACGGATTTCGATGAAATTTGGCATAGATATAGAAGATAGTATGAAAGAACAAATAGGCTATTCACTTTTGTTTTTTTTTTTCAAATTCAACGCGAATGGAGTCGTGAGCGAAAGCTAGTGTAATATAAAAATTTCACTTATTTTCTAAAAATAAGAGAACAATAGAAGACTTGACTGTTTCACCGTTTTTTCACCTCTACACAATTTGTATCTTCTCCGACATATTCAGATTTAAACCTAATTTTAACTACATTGTCATTTGTTTGTATTACATATCTAAAGTACATCTTAATTCAAAGCCATTCTTTTGTTTTAACAATGCAACCTTTTCTTAAACAAGACAATACGAATACTATCAGTGTAGCTATGTATTGATTGATAGCGGCTATTGTTAGCCAGTGACGTCATGTACATTTGTAGACTAGCTGTTACTCGCGACTTCGCCCGCGCAAAATATATATATTACTCACTGATAACTTAGCTTTTGAATGGTGAAAGAAACTCTTTCACACAATCCATCCATACTTTCTTCGGTCTTCCTCTTCCTTTGTAGCCGGATGGCCATTCATTCTTAACACTTTCTAGTTTATGTCCCCAACATCTCGTCGCATAAGATGTCCTTACCACCCAAAAAAACATGATATAAACAATGTAATAAAATGTATGTTAAAAAATTGATGTAAAATAGAACTCATTCTTATGAATTGTGGGTCAGTGACCTTGTTATTTTACCCGTTTTATGAGCCGTTAACAAATGTTTCTTTAAATGTCAACACTTCAACATATTTTGTTCAAAGTATGATGTTAAAGATGATATGGTTAAGGGAGTGAATTCAGATATAACGGTTAGTAGAGATTTATTAAAGAGCGTATTGAGACGACTCTTAATAGATAGGCAGGTTAATGATGATATTTATTTAAAACTGGAAACTTATTTTAAATAACACCAGAACAAAAGCACGTGTTACGAAAAATACGCACTGTTTGTTATTCCATTCATCAGATTTATTCGAATGTTCGTTTTTTATACAACACGAAGATTAACGCACACCTTTATATATTTGAACAATGCAAATAAAAATATATAAAAAGAACAATGAATTTGTTTTACAACACTACTTTGGATCTGTATAATTTTTTTTTGCTACACAAAAATTTTATATTCTCATTTCATTAATATTTTTAAAATTAGCATTGTAAATTATTCTGACTATGACTATATACATACGTAATGAACGCGTAAGAACGCGCACACCTTTGACTAAATTATCGCAAAACTGTTTAGTCTCGCTTTAATTCCTATAAGCTTATATGGAACTGCGCACACTACTCGATTTTTAGTCATGCAACTAAGTTGAATTGGCTGCGAAACAATCGACAATCGCACAACAATTGTGCGATAGTTGAACCAAAGGAGTGCGCCCGCTCTTGAGGAATTTAAAATATGCAAATCTTGGCCAAAATTTTGAATAGATGTTTATAACACAACCTTACGTGGCTTTGCTATCGCCGTCAGATTTCAGTAGGCTTTAAGTATACATGCAATGTTAGTTTTATTTTTGGCCAGATTTGATCGAACTCTATTTTAAACTAGCTGTTCCCGTGCAACTTCATCCGAATGAAATTATAAAAACTTTATTTTATTGTTTACATTTGACAAATTATCAAATGCAAATGTCAAAAACGTTACCATAATAACATTGCTTCCTCGATGTTGGCAGCTTGTAGTTCATGGTCCCTTTCCCATATGAAGGTTTTTTTCAATTTATTTACCCTCTAAGGTTAATAGCATCGAAATGTATCGCTTAAAGTGTGTCGTTAGTATAAGGCTTTTTATTAAAGAACGGAATTATTCAAAATCATACTGTGATTGCTGACATCCTACGTCACAAAGTAGTGTTTACGCTTTATTATATTAGTTTAGATTAAAATAAAATGTAACGTGTTGCTTATAATAACTTATGTAGATTATATATGTCAGAGTTCAATTTTATGCAGATTACAAACTGCAATAACAAGTTCAGAGATAACCAAAACAAGGTTAATTTACACGTGCCTATTTGATATTTTGTTCCAAGAAAATTTTGTGACAAATCAAAGTTACCTAAGACTATAAACGTCACTTTTTAAAGTTAATTTAATTTCAAACCGCAATAATGTTTGTTATTTAGTTCTTAACTCATAATTATAATTACTTATAATAAATATTGCGCCAAGAAAATACTAAACATGTAGTTTTATCCCGAGTGTAGTTCAAAATTTGTCCGTTAGATTGTTAAGTGTACATCCGTAATATTAACTAACAAATAACAATTTAATATAATCGGAAAAACAATTAATTAATTATAACTCTCTTTAATGATATTAAAAAAATCTTAGAATGTCTTTATTAGATAATCAAAAACAAACTCATAAATTATTAGTAATTGGAATCAAAATATTCTAAAAATGTTATACCGAAAACGTAATTCACCCTTTGTTCACTTGACAGTAACCAATACAAATTGTCGTGCCGTATAAGAAAACAAAATTTATTTTAAATATTTGATACTGACCTATTTTAGCTGGATTACAAGTAACACAGGTGAAACAGACGAACAGAAATACAAACGCCTTCCAATCCATCTTGCACACAAAAGTCCGACAAAGATAAAATAATTAAGTTTTTTTTTCGATATCACATCTTTCCGCACTGTTTTCGTAGATACCGGCTTCGTAGCGCGACGTAGAGGCGACCGACCGCAGCTACGGCGCCCAGACAACTGAGCTTCAAGCTACGGGAACGGCAGAGTTGGTGTTATTGATTCTTTTAAATGTTATTTTTGGAGATTTAACATGTAACATTAGGTGCTATGATTGACATTAAATTTACCTTCAACAAGTAACATATTACAAATGATTTTTGTACGACTAATGTCGTGTAAATATGAAAAATTTCGAAATATGTGATGTGTGAATTCGATAGTTTTTTGTTTTAACACAATAATTTAAAAATAACCTTTTTATTTACAGTTAAAAACTTTCGAAGTCATTTTACATTTTAAATTCTTCGTCTAGTTCTTGTTATTGTTTAAAATTTACAAAGTCCTTCAATTAATAAAAAAAATGTTTGCAATGAAATTTCAAGTTTTCAAATAAAATTATTACAAAATGAAATTCAGCACTACGACTACATATTCTTGAAATACAGTTAGTAAATTTATTCAGTCGGTAATACAAAGTTACCCGCAGTAATATTTCAAAGGTATAAGTAGAGAGCGCAATAATTCGCACCAGCGCTCAACCAAAATGATAGATATGCAATGAAATAGTTTCTGTCGAATTGAAAGCGACTTTGTCAAGATGTCGGATGGATGAAACACTCGTTGTCAAACTTTGATCCATTGTGACTGACTTTAGACAATCTGTTTTGCAATTTCAAGTTTCAAATAGCTGTTGTGGCAACTTTTAAAGTAAGTTATTTTACACAACGGAATAATATAGCTTTATGCGAATAATGAATTGTTACAATACCTCCGCGAGAGGTTAGAAATAATGTTAATTTAATTTATTCTTCGAGATAATGTAATCCAATAAATTATCTTAGTTCAATTAAAGCGACGATTTTATATCGATTACAAACGGCTTTGGTTAAATTTGTTTTCTAATAAAAAATCATATATAATAAATATATCAGTAGTAATGTGATTTATATATAGTAATATGAAGAGGCAAGGATTTTTTGATTTTACTAAGAATTGAAATAGCTCAAAAATTATTGGATAGATTTAAAAAACCTTTAACATCTATTTCTACATTCTTTTTAATTCTACGTGGACGAAGTTGTGAACAAAAGCTAGTTATATACTAAAACCTTCCTCATTAGTTACTTTATTATAGAAATATTTATGGTCTGATAAGTTGCTTTTTAGTTTATTGCGATCAAACACACTAACAAGGCGGTAATTTCTATCATAAATCAAGTAATTTAATGATATGCATTTGGCAGTCAGTACATACTTCGGAGCAGGTAAGACCATCTCGAGGGACAAGCCAAATCGGCTACAAATTAATAATGACTGCTAAATTGAGGAACGAATGGATAGACGGAGAATGCGAAATGAGCAAGAGAATGCATGAATATGAATTCTTACTATTTTTTCCATACTTACACATGCTCACTAATTTAACATATTATGCTATTTTTTATGTAAATAAAATAATTACAAACCTTAGAATATCATCTTTATTCTTACTAGATGAAACTAAAGTCTAGATGGATAGATGTTAGAGTTTGTAGCCTAAACCTCTGAATAGATCTTGATGGAATTTTAGAGGATAGCCTGGAAGAACACATTGGCTACTTACTTTTTTAATTCCACGGGAGTTGCGGGTGAAAGCTGGTATACAAAAAGTAAAGAAAGACGTCAACTGGGATATATTATTATTATGTACACATATTTAGTACATTATACATTACGAAGTTATACCTACTGAGATGTATTCAAGCTTCACAGTGGATTAGTCAATATCAAACATGTATTGAAGACGACATAAAGCGCCCACATACTTGACACGGCGCTGGTACGTGTCATCTATCTGAGAAGCTTAGTACGATACACCTACGATTTATCAGAATTCCTTCAAACATTGTTAAATAATACTTATATCGCTTCGAGAAATACATGACTACTTCGTTCTTGACTCGAGACATAAGTCGAGGGCTGACACTGCCCTATTTATCACTAATTAATAAAACTACCATCATAAGATTTAAAACTACAAAACTATGAAGGAAAATGTCTCTATTCTCGTACTTGTTATATCCCTAAAACAAACAATATAAATTAAAATCTTTACACGAATAGAACTTCATTAATACTGCGTGTCTAAGTATACATTTCGGACGAAGTTATTTTTACATCCTTAACTAGGCCCTATCTTTGGATCAAATTTAACATAACATCGGTTGCGACCGTAGTCTAATTTATTCATTTAATTCCTTCCTATACTTATTCTTAAATACTTCTATCTTATCCATTTAACATTAAATACATCCAAAAAAGAACGCTTGGTTTAAAATGATTGTAGCATTATTCGTTGTTGAATTTTGTGAATAATAATCTTCCCTTTGTTAGGCTGCGTCAAAGGCAGTGAAAGCCGCGCAGGTAGTGCTGGCAATCTGCCACCGTGACTTTCAAACAGAGAAATGCACGTCACTGCGTCGTACATGATGCGAGATATAACTTTGACATAGATGTGTAAACTATACATTGTATATTAACAATGAAAATAACCTTGGAAAAGTTTCGGCCATGTATTGTGAACGAAAATCGAAAAGCGGCACACTGCTTTTCTATAAAATAAAGTAAAAATATACTGTTATACTTTTTAAAATTTAACTAATATGCGAAAGATTACATGGGTGGATGTTTGTTAGAGTTTGTAGCCTAAAATGCTGAACGAATCTTGATAAAATTTTTCACTGATATAGAGGATAGTCTGAATCACGCATAGGCTTTTTACTTTTGTTTTTGTTTAAATTCTACGCGAATGGAATCGCGGGCGAAAGGTAGTGTCAATCATAACTATCCACTCAGTAATAAAACAACACAAATTACCCAAAGGGGTACATAGGGTAAAAGGACTTACGTTTGACGCGGTCACATACCTCGCTTCTTCCACATTCATATTATGTTTCAGTTTCGGGAGCCCTTAATACGGTGTCCGGTTAATTTTCTTTGAAACTGATCTATTGAATGTCTAACTATTGAATAGGGAAGGGAAGGAGAAAACATCAAAAACATGAAAATAGTGAATTTTTATATTTCACTTAAATAATATTTTGGTTTTGATATAAATAATGCATCAGTTGTTGCGTATGCCATAAAAAATATATTGATAGTCGACTCCCTGGAGTGATTCTATCGCAAATTCTAAACAAAAAATTTATAAGCCACTTTTACACTGTACGTGTCCAGTATATTTTGTCGCATCTTAGAAATGTTATGATCGAACCGTGGCGTCGAATATGTATACAGCATTATACAATTTATACAAACCGTTGCAAGAGGGCGCACACCTTTGACTAAAATGTCGCACAACGGTTGTGCGATTATCGATAGTATATTGTTCCGCAGCCAATTCAAATGTTTATTTGCACAACTAAAAATCGAGAGTACGTACCTCGATATAGGCTCATAGGATTCAAAGCAAGACTAAACAGTTGTGTGATAGTTTGGTCAAAGGTGCGCGTGCGATCTAAGAAATTCATAAAATATTTATAGGAAATAGAGCCTTGGTTATTTTTATATTAAAGAGCTTTGAATTAATTTATTACAGAGTGGACATTTGTATCTTTTGGTAAATTTTCAAACACTGAAGTCAGTAGTGTATCAAGACACATAAATGCTACTTAACTTGTACAATAAGACTTGTCACATTGTTGTAACAGAGTGTAGATTTCGTTTTTTTCGTATTGTCCTGTCTAAATTTATTTTGAATATTAAGCATTAAAAAATCTTCCTTCATATGAACATAGATTTCATATTTATACAAGGTTTTAGCAAAATAAAAGTAACTTGTACCTTTATAATATTCTTTGACATCGGAAACTTTTTTCTTTGTATTTCTGGAACAAAGCTTATATTACGACGCCCCAGAGATACATAGATATCACAGTTTATGACATTAAATGTAAGTTACTATGTTTTTTAAGGAAAAGCTGAAAGACAAAACTTTTAGCACTTTATTACCTTAATATTTTTACAACAATAAAGCTTTAAAGTATAAATACAACAAAAGTTTTTATACAAACCCAATATTATAATGAAAACGTAATATTCATATTAAATAGGTGACATGTTCGTTATATAATACTAGTTTTTGCCTGCGACTATGTCTGCGAATTAAAAAAATAGTAACACCCTGTGTTCTTAAAGACTACTTCTGTGCTAAATTTTATTAACTATAAACGGTTTAGGAGATATGCAGTAACAGACATCCATCCATTCGTGCATTTAGAGATTTATTTATAAGCAGAATTCTAAAAGATTACAGACGTTTTTGTTAAGATAGTTCTGTCTGTTGATCCTGTAATTCAGTGACGCGGAAACATTTCAGGGAAATTAAAATATCTGCAAAGGACTTTTCCGAGAGCCTTTTCAATTCGTAGCTTCTTTTATGAGATTGCATCCCGACTGTTACAGAAATATATTTTCCATAGATTTGATTATTTTAATAGTTTTATGAATACTATAATTATATTAATTGAAATCATTAATTTTTAATAAGATTTATTTAAAACTTACTTTTGCTCGCGACTTCGTCTGCGTAATTATTTTATAATTTGCAAAAGATGATGTCTTCCCGATATCTCGTTTTTTTCTATAGATATTACAAACAGACACTTCAATTTATATGTATAGATAGATATACAATATATAACCAAGAGGTAATTTAAAATATACTAGGCTAGCATAAATGCATAGAAGCAGTATATAGTGTGAGCAGTAAATATATTCCGACAAAATAGTTGCTTGTTCGAGCATGTTGCACGGAGCCTTGTAAATCGATTGTTAGGCGCTAAAGTTTGATAGTTCCTAAATTGGATCTAATCCCAACTACGGAGTTCAAGCTTGTATTGCATGAAATATTAATAGAAGAAAAACCAGTGTAACTTATCTCTTTATAACGAGCTGTTGCCCGCGACTTCGTCCGCGTGGTATTAG